TTTGGCCCAAACCCCTCTAAACTTTTCCTATTCATATACCTATCCAGATGCCTGTTAAACGTTGCTGATGTACCAGTCTCCAACACTTCTTCTGGCAACTCATTCCAAAGACCTACCACCCTCTGCATGAAAAGGTTGCCCCTTGGTCCATTTTAAATCTTTCCCCTCTCACCTTAAACCTATGCCCTCTAGTTTTGGACTGCCCTACCCTGAGGAAAATATCTTAGTTATTCACCTTATCCATGCCCCTCATGATTTTATAAACTTGTATAAGGTCAACCCTCAGCCTCCAATGCTCCAGGAAAAATAGCCCCAGCCTATTCAGTCTCTCCCTATAGCTCAAACCCTCCAACCCTGGCAACATCCTTGTAAATCTTTTCTGAACCCTTTCAAGTTCCACACATCTTTCTTATAGGAGGAAGGCCAGTATTCCAAAAGTGGCCTAACTAATGTCCTGTACAGCCACAACATAACATTCCAACTCCTATAGCGAAGTGTTCTGAGGATTTACTGAGATTGTGAATGTCTTTTTCACAAATTCAAGTTTTTCTCACCCTGAAATAAAGCGAATAGAGTATACCATGTGAAGCCCCTGGGCTGTTTATTAGCTCAATGTATTCAACATGTAAAACATGGGACAATATGCACTTCCCATATAAGTTCAGCAAAACACCGACATTGAAAGATAGCAGATTTTTGGTAAGAACTCATCTGTGTATTCTACTAAAAATGATTCAAAACACAGCATATGGAGAAACTATTATTCAAGTCTTTATTTTGATGTTAGCAACATGATTTTGTTTTAAATGGTTCCAATGCTCTTTCACAAACGTGCAAAAGCATATTTTATATCCCTGCTATTAAAATGACATGCAGCCTTGAATTATCCTTAAATAAGACTAAATAATGCTGAAAATAATTTGTTATTAATTACTTATTATTTTCAAAGGTGATTTGACTGTACTATTTATATATTTATACAGTTATTGATCTAATTGAAATATTATGCCTATGTCACTGTGTAAGTAGAGATTTATGCAAGTATCGCAGACCAAAGAAATCATACAGTTAAAGTCATGCCAGCAGTTTTAACCCTTTTAAGGATGTAGTAAAATGTTTGTAACAATATTTAAGCACCACGAACAAAGCTATTGATCTCAGCAGTAGTATTCTGAAGTTCAAAGTGTTATCAATTTCTATTTGGCGTTTCAATTCTAGTATCTAACATTTTGAAATCTATGAAAGTATTGTTGCTTTGATTCCAAAACCACAATGCCATTGTAATGGTCCGTTGTGGGAATGGAGTAGTTCTGCAGCTTGTAAACAGGACCGTCACATATCAAAGTTACTGATCAGGAGAATTAGCCACAGTGATAGATGTGTGGGGTCTCATGTAAGAAGCAACACATTGAAGATTGATGTAAAATCTCTAGATTCTGTTTTCCCTTATCACATCTCTAGATTTTAGACAGTGTGATAAGGGAAAACTGAATTTTTAAAACCTCACCAAGTGACAATTCCTCACTTATGTGCATGCTCATTGAGCGAGTGTGAACCTGCTATTGGACTATGACTGCACCACTGCTTTGGTTGTGAATAACTAACGATGCATTGAACTTGCTACCTTCTAGTCTGTCTGGCTCAGTATTGCATCACTCAGCATCTTTCCGCAGTGAATCATTGCAGGAGAGCTTTTATATTTTCAGTGGGCGCAAGGACAGCACAGACTTGAAGCATATTACACAGAGCATTGAGAGAGGGGGAAGGGATATTCACAGCTTCACTTATGAGAAGGTAATAAACACACAAAATTGAAGGCTTTTTTGAATGCATGAAGTTACATTTGGTGAGATGCAGCATTAGTGCAGGTGCATCAATACTGTTTGGTATTGTTCTTGCATTCTGCTCCCAGATGAATTTTTCTTATCACTCTGACTCTGTGTACAGAATTTTCAATACATTGCAATTATTATCAAAACTGTTGAGCCATTTCCACGTCAGGAGCCTTATGAAATTCACACTGGGTTTTGCCAGGAATCTTCAGCTAACCAAGGGCACCACTATCTGACATTTGGGCTCACTGACCAATTTGGGGAGAGTGGACAGGGTCACACATTGGAGCTGTAAGTTAAGGTTTTCTAATTAAGGTGACCATATAAAAGGCTCACAAGTTCTTACATTTTTGATGCTGCAGTAACTGTGGGAATGGAGAGAAGACTTAGGAATATCTTTCTCACTTAGACACCCTGCTTATAGAATATGACAGACAGGAGAAAAACGGGAGAAAGCAACAGGACAACTTCTCCAACTAAATATGCAATAATGGATGAGTCAAACTATTCATCAGGAACAATATAGTCCCTTTAGCATGGAGAAACCTCACCAGGAGCCTAAAGGCTAAGACAAACAGGGACTACATGTGGCATAACAGTTACAGGTGCCAAGCACCACACTCTTAACTTCTCGGCATTATCCTGAACAGCATTCATCAGAATTTCTCACTGTTAATTTGTTATAGTCCTGAAGGTCACTTAATAAAGGATAGAACTGGACCCAACTTTTACACACTTTTATAATCATCTACTTAAGTGTTAAAAATTACCAGCATGCACCTCCTAACTCAACAGCCAAAGTTATCTCATTTACTGAAGATGGGAAAGTGATTTTCTTTTCCTGCTGTTTGCTAGTCTGATTTCATGTAAATGATGTATGACACTAAAAGTGAAAAGATTTCCTCAGAACTTGACATAGCCCAAGGAATGACTTGATAGTTTTTTTGACAAAAGGTGCAGATCCACATAAAAATATTGTATTTTTAAGGCTCTGTTAACATTCATAGTTAGAATTAATTTCATGTATAATTTTCTGGGTTGTTTTATTTTGAATGTCATTGATTGTTTTAGGATGTTGTGGCTTGTTTCACCTGCTGTGGTTCAATTTGTCACAGCTATCAAAATGTGAGCAGACTTTTCAGACCAGGTTATCTGATGTGGATTGGGCGGTAGATTCCTCAGTGAGATAGAAAAATGATGATTTTTTTTTCCCAGTTTTCAGCTACAAAACATCAACCAGGCAGGGAAAAACCTCAAGAGAGATCTGTGTAAATGTAATAATGTTAAATTAACATGGAGGGATAGAGATATGCACTCCATTGAGTATCCTCTTAATTTATGTCAGTCCATGTCTATTTAAAGGGCACGAATGAATCCTCATGTAATGCCCACTACCTTCAAATAATATAATCAGATGAGGTGTGTGTTTGTATGTCTGCCTGCTTGAGACATGGTTTTTGTGAAGCCTTACTGGATCTTTCTGGGGTGGAATGTGATACACCAAAATGATGACTTGAGTTGATTAGGCTAATTAAAATGCAGCTACCATAAACCTCCATTAAAAGAACAGCAAAAACTGTTTTGGTGCAGGAGTACGTGGTTTTTACTGAGAGGTTTATCCAATAAATGATGGTCTTACTAAGCAATCTCTGACACCCATCTGATCAGCAGTGCTGATAATGCTCATTCATTGTAAAAATCAACACCACAACTTTCGTTCAATGGACAAACGTGCCAACTAGCACAATTAAACATAATTCATAAACAAGTAACAAGCATTCATCTGCACTTATTCATCTCTTCCCAGGCACCTTACAATTCCATCCAAACAGGGTGAGGCAGTGACTAGTTTGATCAGGGACGAGGGACCAACTGTGGCAGTTGGTCCTCCATTCAGAGGCAGCTTGGTAGCCACTGGAAATACATGCCTGATTGGGAACGAGGTCTTGTAGAGGGGGTTGGGGGGTTTCAGATGTTAGCAATGTTCTGCCATGAAAGCGTGAGCCTTACTGAGGCACTGCTGCTCAGATCTGTTGATGGAGCTGATTAATTTTCCATGGGCTTTGTGGAGGGTGTCTCTTCTTCTTCCAGCCTGATGTCTGTGTCTGTTCCCTCTGGCAAGTGGAGCGCCAAGCATCTAAGGAGAGAAGGTGCTGGTGTATGTTCTTCCTGCTACTGCAGATATTACATTGCAGTTGGTGTTGATGCTTCTCAAGTTCTTCACAAAAGGTGCAAGGTGAAACTATAAAAATTGCCCCTGGGCAGAGGTGAAGTTTGGCATTGGGAAGGGCAACTGAAGGTGAATGAAATGCTAGACATGTGAAGTGTCATCCAAGAAGGTGACCTGTTATCTGTCAAGCAATGAAAAAACTCCCTGAATGAAGCAGTACTATTAATATTAACTTCTCATTCTGGCCATAGCTGGAACTTACCAGATCCATGATCAAAAGTTTCTCATTTTTTCTGTTTCACTGAAGAAACACTCCCAAAATGCATTCACCTTTTTCACTCTAACAACTGATCAGGAAACACGTACTCTGGATAATAAAGCCAGCATTTAGAGTTTAATTACCTACCAGAATCTGGAAATGCCTTCCCCCAATAACTACACAGGGTCTCCCCTGCTTATCAAGCACATCTGGGTGAATCCCAAAAGAGGGTTAGTTGATATCAGGATCTGAATTTGACGTTATCTTTTGGCGATGCATGAACCCACAATACATACAAACCAGTTCCCCTGCTTTGAAAAGGGTCCCCAATGTCTCAGTATTCAAATAGTTAGTCTGAAAAAAGACCATGCTTAATTTATAAAGCAACTACTTAAGGGGTGTGAATATTTTTATCTTTATACTTTTCAATGTTATCGATTCAGGACTAATCTGGCTCCTCTGGTCGCTTACTATAAAGGCTTATTAAAACTTCTTAGTATCTCACAAAAGAGCTGGAGTTAGAATCTTCTGCTTCAATATCATATTTGATTTGTGCCTGAAGTTCACACGCAGGTCTGAGCCAATCTCTTGGGAAGGATTTGCATATTGATTCCTGGGGAATGCCCTTGAATGTGCGTCCACGCCTGTCATCTCTGCATGCAGAGCTGTGTGAGCAGCATCGCAAGCAGGAAGGCTGAGAGCTGCATGTGTATTATTGCGGGTAGTGCTTGATAGACAACCGGATTGCACACAGGAAAGAGACTGCAGGTACAACCGACAAGCAATAGGGTTGATTATCAAACTTTTAGTGGAAGATACCAGGAATTTGTCCACATCTGGTGAGTGGTAAGGGATTTTTATGTAATTTCCTTTTTTGCTAAAAATTGTCTTTTATTTTCACTTTGCAGCTAACTTTGCAAATCAGATGTGTGCATTCAGTGTCAGAATAAATCATTTAAAAAGAAATTTTAATAGCTGGATATTTCAGAAACACAGTATTAAATGAATATTTCTGTGCTATCTTTTCTAATTTTGTAACTATGTTTTTTCTCTGATGGATCTGATAATACTCTTTAAAATTAGTTAAATATGCATGCATGGATTTGACCATACTGGCTGGTTAATATAATATGGGCATAATCAGATTTACTCAGAATGATAGAAATGAGTCTACATTTCTTCTCCTGGTCCAGCTTTATTTATGTACTCAAGGACAAAGCAGTTGTACTCTGAAAAATTCTATCACAATCTGCACAAGTAGTAGCAGGCAATCACGGGTGGACAGTGTGGGAGACGCAAGGAGCGGATATAAAAATATGAGGAAAGAAACTCGAAGGCTTTGTACTGCAGTGGTGTCAAAATGCACCTGTACTTTCAAATCTTGTACTATAGTGCTAAAATATGGCATGTCTGCATCAGCGTAATCCCATATCTTGCCTATGTATTAAGCAAAATGTGTAAAAATTAGGCAAGGACAAGCTGTACCACCACAAGCCTCTTAATAGAAACAACCCTTGGGTTCCCATTAATCAAATACAATGTAGTTAACGAGGTTGGGATTGATGCTTAACCAAATATTCCGTTTTCATTTGCCCCATGGCTACTGCGTTTAAATTCTTCCCATTGTTTGCTGTTACCTGTGAAATTTAAAATATTATATTTCTTTATCTGTATTAAATACAGATTTAATAAATGTAAGTCCTCCACATTTCAGGATATTAATTGTTACGCATAGGCTAGAAATCATTGACAGCATAATTTACATTTGTAACAAGTATTCAATGCAAATAAATGATTCATTGTTAAAATATATATCACAAATTGATCCAATCAACAGCTTTACATTATGAATGGCATAATGAGTGTCAGCTATTGCGGTAATAACATTCCTTTGAGTAACTAAGAAGATTCTAGGTTCTAGCCCAACTCCAGGTCATAAGTATTTCAGATAGGCTAACACTTCATTTCAGTTATAAAGGTGTGAATCATTATCAATAATGCTATATTTTGGAAGAGTCATGGAGTTAAGTCCCTGTCTACCTGTTCAACTAGGAATTAATGATTCCATGGCATCATTTGAACGTACCAGGAAGTTTGTTTAGTGTCTCGAACCATTTTTCCCATTCAAAGATCCTCAAAGATGGAATGATTGTCATGGTTTGGGTGTTGTGTGTGAACCTTCCTCTGTGCAAATTTGTTGCATATGTCCAAACAAAAAATTGAAGTAATCTCAAAAGCAATTCATTGGATACAAAGTATTTTGAGAACATTCTGATAATATGCAAAGGTCCTCTACACATTCAACGTTTTCTATTTTCTCCATTTGAATGTCCCTTGAGGGTCAATTTTTACATGAATGCTGATGATATCCATTTACCTTTTCAACCCTCCCCTGTTCCTAAATTGTCAGACTACATATTTGAAATCCGGTACTGGTTGAGCAGAAATTTCCTTCAATTAACTATTGAGAGGAATAAACGTCATTGCCTTTGGTACCCACCTCAGGCTCTATTCCTTATTCAATACCTCTATCACTTTCCCTGGAACTTTCTGAAGCTGAACAGGACTGATTACACCCTTGATGCCTACGTCATCCTAAAATGATTCATTGACCATATATCCACACCTTGCACTACAAGTGGTTGTTTCGACTTTTCTAATATGATCTGACTCTGCTCCTGCCTCAGGTCATCCATTGAAGTCTTTCTCTGACTCTGAACTTTTAGACTTGACTATTCTAATGAACCCATAGCCATTCTTCCACATTTGACCTACTATTATGGCATCTTAAACAAATCCCATATCCTAACTTTACCAGGGTCTCTTTTCATATCACCCTCTGATTGCACTGGCCTAAAATTGGTTCCCAGTTATGCAATACCTCAGTTTTAAAATTCTCATCTTCATCTATAAATTTCTTCATGGTCTTGTTATAGCCAATCTCTATACCCTTCTTCACCCCATAACCCTCCTAGATTACTGCTTTTCTCTAATTTTGAGCCTGTATCATCTGCAATTATAATTGCTCCGTATTTGGTAGTCAAACCTGCAGCTGCCAAGGCCCTACATTCTGAAGCCCCTTTGCTAAAGCTATTTATTTTTATTTCCATTTCCATTTAAGATATTCCTTAAACCCTACCTTGTTTGCTTGATATCTCCTGGAGTGGCTGGGTGTCAAACCTTGCCTTATAATGCCAGAGTGAGGTATGTTATGATGCTTTATTACGTAAAGGGCTACCTGTATATAATTGTTATTGTAGTATTTAATATTCACAAGTTTTATTATACGCCAATCAGGCAAGAGGATTTCTGTTTTAGTCCCTATTCTGTGCTGAGTTAGTTATTTTTACTTCAATCAGGAACCGACATGCTTGGAAAGATAACATCAGTCAAAATAAAGCATAGACAAAATAGACAATGTTGTCAAGGACACTAAGGGGCTCTAAATGGAAACACTTCATGGGTTCCCATTAATCAAAGCCTTCCCAATACTGTGTGAAAGTAGAAGGATGATCATCAAGTGAGGGCAAGATCAGGCTCAACTGTGAGCTGTATGTTTCTGCATGAGGAATGCCCACTTGGATTAAGGAGTAAAGGGTAGCTGGCATTGATATGAGTCTTTTGCAAGAGGTAGAAACAGACATTTAAACATATTTTATCAGTTATTCACTAACTTGATTGATAGATTGAGTCATTTCGAGCTTTGGTTATAATCTAAATGTTTTAGAAAAATGCAAAATAAGCAAATTGACAAAGTTGCAACATGATGCAAGAATTTGATTGTAAATAATTCAACATATTGGCAATTGAGATGGGCAACAGAAGTGTATATTTATATAAATAGTAGTTTTTTTCATATAGATCTTGAATATTGATGAGAAAAGACATTTTGTTGAAGCTTTCACCCTGCACTCATCTGAACATTTGTAAGGATAGCAATGTAAAGAGACACAATACTTTATACTGTATGTGATGAGAGTGCTGATTTGCTGGCAAGCAGTGTGGTAGAGGTGTTACCATGGAGAGTTGAATAATGACTAACAGTTCCTAGCTTTGTTTAAATTTAAACCAGGCAGATTGGTATGGATTGGTCAAGACATTGCTCTGATGAATGAATATATCATCATACACTTGACCCTGTACTTTGTAGACAGACACGTCGTGTCTGTTTCAACTTAACAAAACAGGTGACAGCTATTCTCTGCTTCCTTACTCAACGTAATATTAGAATGAATAGCTAAATTGATATCATCTCCATGCAATATATTCCAAAGTCAAAATTAGCACCATGAGGGCTCTTGTGATGCAGTGGTAGTGTCCTCCCACGATCCAGAAGCATGTGTGAGCAGCATCGTAAGCAGGAAGGCAGAGTGCTGCATGTGTATTATTGCAGGAAGTGTTTGAGACACAACCGGATTGCACACAGGAAATGGTTTAAGTGTGTAATAACATCTCTGAACAGATTTGAATCAAAAGTATTAAAATTATAACTATTATGATGTCAATTCAAAAATTGGCTAAGAATTTTAAAGAAAATCCTTCTACTTCAGTAGAATCTGAGCAACTCAATCTTTTATTTACCAGATGCTTGATAAACAGAGGCTGCATCAGACACTTTGAACTGTTAAATATGTGACAAATCTATTGCTAATACGGTGGTTTTATTTTTCTGAGATGTGTTGTGCAAAATAACTTGTGACAAGCCTTGCATTTTGAAAAAAAGAAGTTTTTTTTCTGAAATGTCCCCTTATCCAAAGTGAAACTAATATATCCCCAGAAAAGTAGATTAATTAACTAATCAAAAACCAAAAGAACTGCAAATGCTGGAAATCATAAACAAAAACAGAAATGGCTGAAAAAGCTCAGCAAGCCTGGCAGCATCTGTGGAGAGAAATCAGAGTTAATGTTTGGGAATAGTGATCCTTTCTGAGAACTGAGTCTGTTCTGTGAGAATTTCTCATCCACAGCATCAGTCCAACATTGTGCTACCATACCCAATTAGGTGCCAGCTGAGTCAGGGCAATAAAACTAACCTCACTGATCAAGATCTCCGTGTCGTCTTCCAAGCTATAATAAACAGAAGCCTCAGGCTTTTGTTTTTGAACAACAAAGCTGATTCCCAAGAGCAGTCATAACTGGCAGTAGGGTGTTTGCACTGGCACTGAACACCAACATCATTTCATTTGGGATATATCAACAGTGTACAATGAAGTGAAGATATTCCACAAGGCAGGCAAATCAGTTTGTCAGCAAAATTCCCTTTCCACTCTGCTTATCCAACAAACCATAAAACGCCTTCAGCTCAAGCAACCTCATCCCGATACACATGCACCTTACCATATAGGATAAGGGCTGTTGTCATACTGAAACAAACAGAATAACTGTGCTATGTAAACAACTCTGCAAATGTTTGCAATGAGGATGGCCATGAGGTCCAAATTGTATCCTTACAGAAATAGAGCCTTTGTTTGCTCAGTGTACCCTGTATATGTGCCTGGTCTCTGCAATGCTGCCTGATTTTCCTGTTTTGACACAATGCTGCAGTTATAGCTGGTCTGCCATTATGATTGTGGCCAAAGGAAAAGCCAATTTTGTTTGAAGTTGATCTGAGTAAAGGTTTAGAGATGGGTGTCAACATTTTGTTTAAGAAATATTTTTACAAAGTGCTCTAGAAAATGAAGATCATGGGAGTGATATCAAATTTGAAAGAATGGATTAAAACAAGGTTCTCAGAGGCCTGTAATCAGTCAGTGAAGTTGGTGTCCCCTTCGGTTCACAAACTCCTCAATTGCACTTGGTGATAGTAGCTGTTCTGTTTGATTTTTCAGGCGTAACTTAT